CACACCCATCCACCCACCACTCACTTTCCCACCCATCCACCCACCATTCACTCTCCCACCCATCCACCCACCACTCACTCTCCCCACCATCCACCCACCACTCACTCTCACACCCATCCACCCACCACTCACTTTCCCACCCATCCACCCACCACACACTTTCCCACCCATCCACCCACTCACTCACTCTCCCCACCATCCACCCACCACTCACTCTCACACCCATCCACCCACCACTCACTTTCCCACCCATCCACCCACCACACACTTTCCCACCCATCCACCCACTCACTCACTCTCCCACCCATCCACCCACCACTCACTCTCCCACCCATCCACCCACCACTCACTCTCCCCACCATCCACCCACCACTCACTCTCACACCCATCCACCCACTCACTGCCACACTATCATGGTACACTGCATTTGAGTGTGGCTGGTGACGTGCACGGAGATTCTGTCGTTGTCTCTGATGTCAAGTACCCCTCACTGCCTTGTTGGCATACACCGAGTGACGCGACAATACGGGTATGCCAACAACAGGAATTCCCCGCATTCTGTACATACGAGGGTGACATAGCGTCAGCCCCAATTTAGATCTGACGGCGGCTGTACATTGTGTGTGGACCTTCTCCAATAACATCCGGGCTAAGCCAAATCGCTGGACTGTGACACACCCACTGTCCGACTCACACCGCGTGTGGTCAGCATTCAGTGTGTTGATCAGAGTCAAGTGGTCGTCAAGTGTGGTCAGTGGAGAGCGAATGGACCATTACCTTGCGGCTATGGACCTCTTGTAAGGTGAGTGTGCATTAGGAAGGCGTGTGTGCTGGCGGACCAGAGTATTAAACGTGCCGTGTATCTGCTGTATAACCTATGTGGTTAGAATCATGAACCTGCGCGTAAGTAGTAGTATGATCCACGTGTGTCGTAATCTCTGTATGCACCTTCATACCTTCAGAGTAATAACACTGACGGGGATGTGGGTACGGGGTGGGTGGCAGGGGAGGGGGTGGGGTGTGTGGGGTGTGTGTTGTGTTGTGTGGTCAGAGGTGTTGTGGTTTGATCAAAGACGTAAATCTATATACGTCTTTGGTTTGATCAAGAGGCCCATACTCCCTTTATTTCGATATAATTATGGCGCATACACACTTGTTAATAGATCTGTTACACCACACACAGAAATAATAACAAACTCACACCTATCCACATATATCGCCCTCAAATGACCCCCCCACCTTCCTTCCACGGCACACATATACACTCTCCAACCATCCAACCCAACCCACCCCTCGGGACTTGGATTCTTCACTGGTGTCATATATGTATATACTTTTAGCACGCCTTATGGCCCCGGGGCGGTGAACTCTCAAGTGGGATGATTGCCCATTTTATGACAGCTGCGCGGAGTTCAAATTAAACAGTGAGTCTGCACCCAAAAGTGCATCACATGTATCAGCGCCATCAAACGATTAATATCTTATTCCGGTTAAATGAGTAATCCCGTTAAAACACGGATATATTGGGTGTATATATATAGACACGGCGAGGTGTGCATGTTTGCCGAGAACCCACGCGAATCCAGCCACACAGAAACTGTGTAGGAAGGGCGGTACGTCACACTTCCTACAGGCAAAGCAAATAGTATCACTCATATCACAGTCAAATATACATAATGTATTCAGTGAACTTGTAAGGGTCCAAACTCCTGGTTTAAGTTTTTGTAAACATTTGTCGTGAAAAGCTCCAGTTTATGCATCCCCCATGATTATATGCATTATGCATGCGATCCTTTAAATCAAGGAAGCCTGAGCGACATAAACTTGTTTTTTCTTATGAAAGAGGAAGGTTAATGCTGCCAATGCAGATTACAACATAACCTCACTAATCCGGTACAAATCAATGTGAAATGTCCGGATTAACAGCTTCTCGGATTAAAGGCTCAAAGTTATATACAGAGAGTATTAATATCCACACAACACATGTGTTGATGACGTAATACAAACACTGTTGGCGTGGAGACACGTGCAGCACTTATAGCGTTATACAGACACTGTTGACGTCATGGAGAGACTTGCAAGACTGATGACGTAATACAGACACTGTTGACGTGGAGATACGTGCACCACTTATGCCGTAAAGCAGACCTGTTGACGTGGAGACACGTGCAGCACTTATGACGTAAAACAGACACTGTTGACGTCGTGGAGAGACGTGAAGGACTGATGACGTAATACAGACACTGTTGACGTGGAGACACGTGCAGCACTGGTGACGTAAAACAGACGCTGTTGACGTGGAGATACGTTCAGCACTTATGACGTAAAACAGACACTGTTGACGTGGAGACACGTGCAGCACTTATGACGTAAAACAGACGCTGTTGACGTGGAGACACGTGCAGCACTGGTGACGTAAAACAGACGCTGTTGACGTGGAGACAAGTGCAGCACTGGTGACGTAAAACAGACACTGTTGACGTGGAGACGCGTGCAGCACTGATGACGTAAAACAGACACTGTTGACGTGGAGATACGTGCACCACTTATGACGTAAAGCAGACCTGTTGACGTGGAGACATGTGCAGCACTTATGACGTAAAACAGACACTGTTGACGTCGTGGAGAGACGTGAAGGACTGATGACGTAATACAGGCACTGTTGACGTCGTGGAGACACGTGCAGCATTGATGACATTATACAGGCACTGTTGACGTCGTGGAGACAAGTGCAGCACTGGTGACGTAAAACAGACACTGTTGACGTGGAGACGCGTGCAGCACTGATGACGTAAAACAGACACAGTTGACGTGGAGACACGTGCAATACTGATGACGTAATACAGGCACTGTTGACGTCGTGGAGACACGTGCAGCATTGATGACATTATACAGGCACTGTTGACGTCGTGGAGACACGTGCAGCATTGATGACATTATACAGACACTGTTGACGTGGAGACACGTGCAACACTGATGACGTAATGCATACACAGGCGGGGACGGACTGTTTTTTTTTACCTTTCGTTGTTTCGTCACTAAGGCGAGCCAGGAATCTATGATCGTGGGTTCGAATCCCAAGTGCTCCCCGACAATGTTTTCAGGTTTGTCAGCACCAAACCAGTCTTCCTTGGTTTCACAGCCTATAATATATAAGTAAACAGAAATTGACAAGGGTGGGGTCTTAATTGAGGCAATTCTGTACATCGTGGGGAGGGTATGCATGACACCGTGAGACGGGAGGCTCCATAGGGCACGGACAGCAACATACACATGAATGACATTGAAGGTACACGTTTAAATTTCATTGCTTATCAAAAATGGAATTTTGCCAGCACAGCTATTCACAGACACAGTTATTGATAATTAAACTATTGAGTCTATTGTCCACGTGGGTGTATTCACGCGGGAAGGGTCTGATGAATGTTTTGAGCATTGACCTTTGACCCCCACTGCCCCGGATCAGGGAGATACTGTGTTGTCAAGCGTCGTCACACGCGATGTATAACGATGTGTTGTGCTGTTCGCATGCGATATAAAGATTTCCAATCGTCATAAAATCTTATCAATACCCTGTCCATTCAATGTTTTTTAAGTAGCATATAAAGATCAACCGATTCAGAAACGTGCTCAGTATCGCCAGAACAGTCAAGTGTGTCTGCTAGATTAGCAAAGAAATAACGCTCAAATAACCCTTCCGTGTTTGAAAACGATAAGAAAAAATCTATTGATTGGTATGCTGCTTCCCACTACTCGACCATACAAAAATTCCGGTCACGTGAAGATCCAGGTTAGAATAGGTCTTAAGCAACCCATGCTTGCCGTGAAAGGCGACTATGCTTGTCGTAAGAGGCGACTAACGGGATCGGGTGGTCAGGCTCGCTGACTTGGTTGATTGTGTGTCATCGTATCCCAATTGCGTGGATCGATGCTCATGATGTCAATCACCGGATCGTCTGGTCAAAACAAAAACAAAAACATAAATTTCGAAATGTGTATGTCAGTAAGACGGGGCCACCCAGTCGTCTAAGGCGCTACAATTCGTACTGCAGAGTTGCGTCCCTTAGGTGTACCAGAAACCTGTGATCGGTGGGTTCGAATCCCGGTTTCCCTCTGATAATGTTTCTTGGTTTGACAGCACCATATACCCGTGTGTTTTGGCTGCCTGCTCATAATACAAATCATTGGTGTGTCTGTTCCAGTCACGACTATTTACAGATGTGTTGATTACGTGTCATTGTGTCACGACCTGTGGATCACTGCTTACGTTACCCATCACATGTTTGTCTGGTTCAGACTCGGTTATTTACCGGCCGTCGTGACATAACTGGAATAGTGCCCAACGCGGCGTTAAACAACATCACTCACTTAGTGACACTGAATGGTACCGACCCATGAAGACCCGGGGTAGAATAGGTCTTCACAACCCATGCTTGCCGTCAAAGGCGACTATGCTTGTCGAAAGAAGCGACTAACGGGATCGGGTGGTCAGGCTCGCTGACTTGGTTGATGCATGTCATCGTATCCCAATTGGGTGGATCGATGCTTATGATGTCAATCACAGGATTGTCTGGTCCAGACTCGATTATTAACAGACCTCCGCCATGTAGCTTGAATATTTCTGAGTGCGACGTTAAACAACAAACAACCAAACAAAAACAGAAAATGAATGGCGTGGGAAGGAATAGGCTTGATCACATCTTTGATCAATGCCTTTGTCGTTTCAAAAGAGCACTAACCTGTGCCACGAGTATTCAGCGACACTCTCATTCAGTGCAGTGCTGTCAGTGCAGACTTGTCACAATGAAAACAGATTAGTTTTCAACCCTGAATATCAAGGAGTCCAATAATAATATCACATACTGTGCTATTCACAAAGGACGACATGCGTTAAGCATTAGTCATGTCACTCGTTAAAACTTCATTTTCAAATCCTTGAAAACCTTTGACGACATTTTAACCACCTGGTGTTTTCAGACCCCAAAAAACCGGACAATACACGGCTGTAGAACTGGTTCTATATATGGGTGTAACGTGTGTACTTTGTACACACGCACGCGCATCTGTGTGGGAGGATTGGTTCAAGCTCACCGGAATGCGGGCGATTCTCAAGCCACTGCACTGTGGGTGTATTAGTGTCGGTTCGCGGGATCTAGTGTGTGTGTGAGTGGGTCTATTTTATGTCGTCCCTGATTACCAAGCGGAGAATATATACATTCAGATTTCTATATGATATACACCCTGGACCCATTCTCCAGGCTCATATTGTGTTATAACGAATGTTGAGTGGATCGGTGAACACAGTATTTCTGCCATATCACGAGGTGTTAGCCTGACGGGAGAGTATTCCAGTCATAGTGTGACGTGTGGGAGGAAAGACTGAACTAACGGTTTGAGGACGTTAATAAATTCCCACCCTCGGTAACGGGTGAGCTGCCGGCAAACGAAGGATGACAATCAGGGTGTATCTGGGTTTCGAACCCAGGATCATTGGATTATTGCACGGCTAACCAACGCAAGTCTGAGGGTTGTCTGTGTAATGACGATGTAAGTAGCTTGTTATACCTATCTGCCTTTGTCTCATATCAGAATAAGATATGTCAAGTAAGTCCGAAATTCAACACGAAAATCAGCTCGATAAAAGACGTTTGTAGTAGGGCTGGGACGGGTAATTCGGGTACCCGGGACGGGTGGGTACTGAGTAGGACCCGGGTACCCACAGGACTACCCGGACCCGTGGAAAGTCACGTGATATATTGTTAAAAATTATCTAGAACTCTATGGTAACACTACAAGTCACTAATGTTTGCATTTCTTTCTGACTATTCACCATGTGTGATTTTTCATATGGTTGAATAAAGATATACCTTAATTCAACTTCAGTGTATGAATGACCAGATTGTTTAATACATGTATCTACATACGTTTTGTCAGGGCTATGCTAAAAATATTCCCAATCGGACATTTTGAGACATTTCCTGATACCTTCAGTGGGTACCCGGGTAGGGTCGGGTGATAGGGAGGTGGGTACCCGGGTAGTAAATTTGGACTCGTCCTAGCCCTAGTTTGTAGGTACGGCTTTGTATAAAACAGATATCCAGTCTAGTACAGAAGTAATACATAGTTCATTCATTTGTGCAGATGTATTTGTCTGTATATTTCTTTATAGTCTTCTAGAGGCACGAACAGGTTTAGCAAATATACTTGCAACATTTATGCGCGTTGCGCGGCTTTGTGAAACACTATTAATTGTTGAATGATACCATCCAACTTAAGAAATAAAAGCGACAAACCCCTTTCCTTATTCATCAGAAATGTCTGCCAAAAGCAGTCGATTGTACGATTCCGACCATATCATGAGCATGTGTTTATGAATCCCTATGAAACAGCGATGATACCAGGTGATCGCGAAAAGGTGAGCGTATCCTGACCCACCAGTGGCACTCGTCACAAACACATGCAAAGACAAGTCAACTGTTCGCCTGAAAAAAACACGGGAACATAGGGTACAAGTCAAAATAGGGAACAGCATCAAACATCATTTTGTCACTGATAACGTCACATTTGGAAATGTAATCCATATGTCGACCATAAAACCTTTTGAGAGCCTCACTGAGGCCCTGCATGTTGTAACCTTGATCAAACCTCTGGGCAAGAATCGTATGACGATCTTTGAAATCTTGGTAGAAAGAGCATGCTCGATTGTGTGAATATGGCTGTTGGGGTAATACCATGATGTAAGAATATGACTGTTCGGGTAATACCATGCCATAAGAATATGGCTGTTGGGGTAATACCATGATGTAAGAATATGACTATTCGGGTAATACCATGCTGTAAGAATATGGCTGTTGGGGTAATACCATGATGTAAGAATATGGCTGTTGGGGTAATACCATGCTGTAAGAATATGACTGTCGAGGTAATACCATGGTGTAAGAATATGACTGTTGAGGTAATACCATGCTGTAAGAACATGGCTGTTGAGGTAATACCATGGTGTAAGAATATGACTGTTGGGGTAATACTATGGTGTAAGAACATGGCTGTTGGGGTAATATCATGGTGTCAGAACATGGCTGTTGGGGTAATACCATGCTGTAAGAACATGGCTGTTGGGGTAATACCATGGTGTAAGAATATGACTGTTGAGGTAATACCATGGTGTAAGAACATGGCTGTTGGGGTAATACCATGCTGTAAGAACATGGCTGTTGGGGTAATACCATGGTGTAAGAATATGACTGTTGGGGTAATACCATGCTGTAAGAACATGGCTGTTGGGGTAATACCATGGTGTAAGAATATGACTGTCGAGGTAATACCATGGTGTAAGAGTATGACTGTCGAGGTAATACCATGCTGTAAGAATATGACTGTTGAGGTAATACCATGGTGTAAGAATATGACTGTTGGGGTAATACTATGGTGTAAGAACATGGCTGTTGGGGTAATACCATGGTGTAAGAATATGACTGTCGAGGTAATACCATGGTGTAAGAGTATGACTGTTGAGGTAATACCATGCTGTAAGAACATGGCTGTTGGGGTAATACCATGGTGTAAGAATATGACTGTTGAGGTAATACCATGGTGTAAGAACATGGCTGTTGGGGTAATACCATGCTGTAAGAACATGGCTGTTGGGGTAATACCATACTGTAAGAATATGACTGTTGGGGTAATACCATGGTGTAAGAACATGGCTGTTGGGGTAATACCATGGTGTAAGAATATGACTGTCGAGGTAATACCATGGTGTAAGAGTATGACTGTCGAGGTAATACCATGCTGTAAGAATATGACTGTTGAGGTAATACCATGGTGTAAGAATATGACTGTTGGGGTAATACTATGGTGTAAGAACATGGCTGTTGGGGTAATACCATGGTGTAAGAATATGACTGTCGAGGTAATACCATGGTGTAAGAGTATGACTGTCGAGGTAATACCATGCTGTAAGAATATGACTGTTGAGGTAATACCATGGTGTAAGAATATGACTGTTCAGGTAGTACCATGCTGTAAGAATATGACTGTTGAGGTAATACCATGGTGTAAGAATATGACTGTTGAGGTAATACTATGGTGTAAGAATATGACTGTCGAGGTAATACCATGGTGTAAGAATATGACTGTTGAGGTAATACCATGCTATAAGAATATGACTGTCGAGATAATACCATGGTGTAAGAATATGACTGTTGAGGTAATACCATACTGTAAGAATATGACTGTTGAGATAATACCATGGTGTAAGAATATGACTTGTTGGGGTAATACTATGGTATAAGAACATGGCTGTTGGGGTAATACTATGGTTGAAGAATATGACTGTTGAGGTAATACCATGGTGTAAGAGTATGACTGTCGAGGTAATACCATGCTGTAAGAATATGACTGTTGGGTAATACCATGCTATAAGTATATGACTGTCGAGGTAATACCATGGTGTAAGAATATGACTGTTGAAGTAATACCATGGTGTAAGAATATGACTGTTGAGGTAATACCATACTGTAAGAATATGACTGTCGAGGTAATACCATGGTGTAAGAATATGACTGTTGAGGTAATACCATGGTGTAAGAATATGACTGTTGAGGTAATACTATGGTGTAAGAATATGACTGTCGAGGTAATACCATGGTGTAAGAATATGACTGTTGAGGTAGTACCATGCTGTAAGAATATGACTGTTGAGGTAATACCATGGTGTAAGAATATGACTGTTGAGGTAATACCATGGTGTAAAAAGATGACTGTTGAGGTAGTACCATGCTGTAAGAATATGACTGTTGAGGTAATACCATGGTGTAAGAAGATGACTGTTGAGGTAATACCATGCTGTAAGAATATGGCTGTTGAGGTAGTATTACGGTAAACAATATGACCGTATCCCGACAGACTTTCTCGGGGTGATTAAAAAACCGAAACGGGAAATGTGTTTGGCCGCGACGTCTTGTTAACGCCCTTCCTTTCACGACTTTTTGAGAGAAATGTTCAAGTTGACTCGACTGTTGGGCAAAAGAAAGTATACCCCCCTGTTTGATGGTACCCCCCCAAGAAATGGATATTCGATGATGATGGATTTCATATGGCTATCACAGTTGTGTTTTTGACCTTAAGTTTGCAGTTTCGATAGCGTGCAATGTGTCGTTACATCCAAATTTCAAGTTTATACTTTCTTGTGCCCTGCAGTGTATTGTGTGACGCATGGCAACTGTGTTTATTCTGTGCCGCACTCCCGTGACCAAGGGTGAGCTCTGCATGTATTCGGATGGGAAACATTTGGTAGGGGATGGAAATACACTGAAACTCAAGACACGCTCTTTTATTTGAGATGAGTGAGTGAGTGAGTGAGTTGGGTTTAACGCCGCTTTTAACAGTATTCCAGTTATATCGTGGCGTGTCAGCTTAATGTGGGAGGAAAGCCCGAAGTGATGCAGGTCTCAGACGTTTACCACTTCGGTGAAACCCACGAGCACGGGTATGGTGCTGACAAACCTAGAAACATAATTGGGGCGAACCGGGATTCGAACCCACAATCATAGGTTTCTGGCGTGCCCAAGGGACGCAACTCTGCACAGCGAATCGCGGCGCCTTAGACGACTGGGCCACCTGTGCCCCCTTATTTGAGATGAAACAGTATGGATACTCCCTTACAGTGGGAAACTGTCTGCCGACAATAATGAATGCTAAGTGACACAGTTAAACCAGTCCTAAGAATAGTTGTTATTGTTGCTGTAAGTGTTTAAGAGGTCGCCTACTAGAATTTCAGTTTCGGCTGACCTGTCCCTCTTTGGGACTTTGAGTAGGATATCCATATCTATTGCGACTTTTGGTATTCATAAAATTTCTGTTTGTATTGATATGAATATTTCCGTATATTGATATACTTTCATTTTGCTTTGTTTATTTTCTTTCGAGTAGCTGTCCATTTCTCAGAAATAGAGTTAGTTTGGCCTAGGCTATTGCATCTCTTGGCTTTATCATATCTGCGACAGATAGCGGATCTAACTAAGAATATCGCGGTGAGGAGCTTACATAGCACTGTGTGGAGCTTATTGCGTAACATTCTGCGCAGACAGAGCTGGAATCCGTCTCTCTTAACGTAACAATTGTGAGAATCCTTTGGTGTTTACGGTGAATGACTCACTGGCTCCATTCTTTGATTAACGTATAACTGACTCCGAATACATTGTTGCGTGAAGCGGAACAAATCGTTCGTCAGTGACTCGATCCTCCAAGCGACACCTTCAAATTCGCAGACGTGCACAAGAGACGTGTGCACCAGACCCAGGCCATGGGTGTTTATTTATCTGCAGAAAAAACTGTTTTGGTGAAATGAGTCTCCTTGTGACGAGCATCACAGCGGTATGCTTTGACAAACTGTTCTGCAATTGAAATGTTTTATTAGTTGGTATTACATCACTGGAGACTAATCACGATACAATGTGTGAGTTGGCCTGGTATTTATAGCCATTGTTTATTCAACTGGTGCTGTAGATTCCTAAATGCCAAGCGCCTGTATAAATTTTAGTTTC